TCTCGTTGTAGCGCGCGATGCGCTGCTCGATGTTCGTGATCTGCGGCCGCACGCACGCGGCGGCGAGGTCGGACATACGCAGCGAATAGTTGGGCGTCTGCCGCTTCACGCGGTCGAAGACGGCCGCCTGGGGGGGAGGTGACGCGAGGGGGGGAGGGCGGGAGGGCGAGAGGGCGAGGGGCGAGGCCGTGCACACTTACCCGTTGGTCGACTCGACGTACACTGGCTCCGCGCCAGCGTGGTGGATGGCGGACGGGACGGCGGTGAAGGAAAAGGCGTTGGCGAGCACCTTGTCGCCGGGCTGCACGCCCGCCACCTTGAGCCCGATGAAGAGGGCGGAGCCGCACGAGTTGAACCCGACCGAGTACTTGAAGCCCGTGTAGTCCACCATGTCCGCCTCGGCGAGGGACGTCTCCGACAGGAAGCCTGGCGAGTAGCGGAAGAGAGCGCCTGACTCCATCAGCTCCATCGCGCGGGCCCGCCCCTCCTCCGGAATCGGGTCGGGCTGCGAGATGGCCTTGTCGAAGGTCGGACCCGGGCAATCCTCGCCGTCCTCCGACTGCGCCGGCATCGTGGGTACTGTCGCGACCATGCGCGGCAAAAGACCCTGCGGTACCGGCGGTGGGTGGGATCTCGATGGGGGCGGCGCGCGAGGCGCGCGGTGAGCGAGGCGGTGGGAACGGCGTCTACGGCGGGCCCCGCGCGACGCGCGCGGCGCGGCGACATGTGGGAGGCGCGCGCGGCGAAGATGCGCTGGGCGAAAAGCGGGCATGACGCGCACCCGGGCCTCGGGCGAGGCAAGGGGGCGAGCGCCCGACTTGAGGAAGTCGACGCTGAGGCCATCGACGCACAGGAAGACGTTGCTGAGCAGCAGCACAGTGGCAGACCTCGCGCCCCAGCCCTTCTTGGTCGCCATGAGGATGAGAAGGCGCGCGGCCGGAAGCAACCAACAGTATGCAAACAGCGTGCCTGCCACGTCGGAAGCAAGGGTTTCTGGTGGGTGCGCCTTGTAGCGCTCTGCCCCTGAGGGAGCAGGGAGGGTGTAGAGGGCTGTACGATGTGAGTCGCCTGTAGAGCGATGTAGAGCGCGATTTTGCTGTAGAGTTTGTTGTGGAGGCTCTACAGTAGGGTGCCCACAGGGCCCAAAAGTCAGTCAGTCAGTGTTACCAACGTCCTAGCATGGACGACGGGGCACACGCACTCGCGGAACACAGGGCATTACACACGAGGCGTTGTGTGCGTTCTCAGGGAAAGGCATCACCACAGACAAAAGTATGTATAGTCAGAGCGGCAGCAGAGTGGGGACCCCCACTCACGGCCCCGCGAGCGCCTGCAGCGAGATGTCCATCGCTGCATTGGTTCTCGCCGCGCATGCGCGCACTGGTTTAGTGCGCGCAATGCGCGGGGAGGGCGGCCTGGCCCTCGCCGGCATGGCAAAGAGGGCGTCGGGCGGGCGCCTGTTGCTGTTCTCCAGCGTCTGGCGCCAGGCCGAGCGAACAGCCAAACCGCCGGGAAGGCAGTGACTCAAAGAGGTCGAGCCGCGCTAATGGGGTATCTCCGAGCTTACTGGAGCTCTGATGGACAGCCTTGACTATCCCTGACACACAGAGAGTCACACACACACACACACACACACACACACACACACACACACACACACACACACACACACACACACACACACACACACACACACACACACACCGCTCACCCACGCGCACCGGGCCTTGCACTTTAAATGCCGTGGGGCTCCTGTCGTTAGACGTGGAGACGCGAGGGTTGCCCCCCCTTGCCCCACCACCTCGTGTGTGTGGAGAAGTTTACCTTACCTTACCTAGTCACTCTGACGGCACACAACACCCTATGACTGCGTCATGACCAGCCAGCCTGCCATGTGTCGCCGGTGCCGCATTCGTCGCTGTGCTTCTTTAGCAGGCGGTGGACTGTCCGCTGAGAGGACGGTCGCATTTGCGCGAGGCCGGAGGCGAGCATTCAGACGCGTTGCATGCGCCATGACTCGCGCCAGCGCGTGCGGGAGCCGTCCTGGCTGAGCGTTGAGTCCAGGCGAGTTGCGCTGGCCACTATCGCTACGCCGAGCCGAGCTGACGCGCCGAGGGCGAGGCGCCGGCCAGTCGCAGCCGTGAGGCATGCCACAGCAGCAGAGGCACCTGCCACCCATTGGGCGGGCAGACAGACGGCCAGGGCAGCACTGGCAAGTGCAACGCGCCTCATGTCGGAGAGCGACCGTGCCTCGTTCGCCGCTTATGATGTAGAGTTTGTTGTAGAGATTTCACGTTGTAGAGCGCCTCTACATCGCTCTACAGGCGACTCACATCGTCACGCGGCGGATGTAGAGCTCTACAGCTCTACAGCGCTCTCCAGCGCTCTACATCTCTACAGCTCTACAGCGCTCTACACTCTACATCCTCTACACCCTCCCTCAGTCTGCCCTCCTCGGGGGGGCTCCTCTCATGCCCACAACACCACCATCCTGCTTCTGCAGCGTGCAGGCAGCCGCGCGCAGCAGGTAGGGTCCCGTCGTCCGTCTGCTTGTGGTTGCCGCTATTGCTGTGCACCCAGGCACCCTCCCTCGCTCCCTGCCCCCTCCCTCGGCCCTCCCTCCACGTCTCCCCGGTCCCTCTAGGCTCCCTCGCTCGCTGCTCGCTCCCTAAAGCCTGGTAGGTTTGTTGTTTAGGGATTCGGGTTGTGTCCTGCGATGAAAGTTCGCGACCCGGCGCAGCAGGGATCTTCTACACTCGATCGACGTTTGGCCAAACCGACAGTAAATTGGTTGCTCTTACTAGATCCCTCAAACAAGTCCACACTGCATAGAGAAGCCTTCGCCCAATTCTCGATATTCCTTCGAAAAGCTGCGCGGTTTCGGGCGGGCACTTGTACTCCTTGGATACTCCTGGGCCGAAGGCGTTTAGCCCCCTTGCCGCATCCAACGCTCGCCACACCCCATGCCGCAATGCACGCGCGGTGCGTGAGAGCGAGAGTGGCACGCGCGGTTGCCGCCATCGCGATCGGCGTAGCAGTGCTTTCTGTGTGTGTGTGCGACTGCTTCTCGACGCTCGTAGATGCACATGGCACACCGCTCTGGCCCTGATGACTTGACCACCACCCTCACATCTTAGGTACAGCCATGAAGGGTTTCGAGTCGGCGGTGATGCTCTCTGGCTGCGCGGTTGCGCTTGCCGTCCAGTACGTCCTCCTCCAGGCTGGCAAGGCAGCCGAATGCAAGACAGCGAAGTAGACGGCGCGTGTGACTTGTCGTGAGACAGCCGCCAAGCCAGTTCGTGGTCGTGCCAGCGTGTTCCGGCTAGCCAAACCTTGGAGGACCTGGCGCGGGGGTAGTGACTGGCTCCGGCCGAGAGTGAGAGAGCATCGGGTGCGTCAGCACGTGGCGGCGCGGGAAACACCTGGGTCCCGCGGCTGTCCCTGTGTCCCACCCTGTCCTGTTCCTGCATCCTGGCATCGCATAGTGTGTTAGTTACCGAGAGTGAGAGAGCATCGGGTGCGTCAGCACGTGGCGGCGCGGGAAACACCTGGGTCCCGCGGCTGTCCCTGTGTCCCACCCTGTCCTGTTCCTGCATCCTGTGGCATCGCATAGTGTGTTAGTTAGGACGTCAGCATGGGCTTTTCCATGCGACCCGGTGTGGCGGTCTGAGCCGCTGTCCGGTAGATAGAGAACTTTCGTCCATAATATTCCCCATTCCGCACACCGAGGATCCATCTCCGCTCACACGTCTCACAGCCGTTTTATACACAAACACACCAGCAGTGACACCACACACAGGCGCGAAAACACGCTGTGTGCATACATCTCTGCAAAGCGGGCCAAGGTCACGGGTCCGACAACGAGCGTGGGGACTGGGCCAGAGCTACAAGCTCCGCCTCCGGCGCCGCAGCTCATCGTGCTCCACCTCCTCCTCCTCCTGCTCCGCCTCGTCCCGGGAGGCCGAGAGCACGCCAGAGGCGGGGGAGGCCGCGGCCAGCGCCGCGGCGGAGGAGCGGATGTGGCCGATCGCCGACTCGAGCGCCGTCTCGAGTTCGATCTCCGGCAGCGCGACCAGCCGTGCAACGACGCGGCTCAGCACGCCGCTACTCGCGTCGGCGGCCGGCGGCGCCTTGGGCGGCAGAGGCGCGGGCAGAGGAGGGAGGCGCTGGGCTAGCGCTCGCGGCGGCGGCGGCGAGAGCGCTGGCAGTGGGGGCGGGGGCGGCGGGGGTGGGAGTGCCGCCTCCGGCGGTCTCGGCGGCGGCGAGGGGAAGAGGAGCGGCGGCGGGGCCAGGCCGGGGGTAGGGTCGGGGGTTGGTTCGGGGGTCGGGTCGGCGTTGATGGCGAGGACGATCCGGCGGCCCTGCCCGAGGGGAAGAAGGCGCACTCCTCGGTGGAGAACAGCTCCTGCATCGTCCACGG